GCAATGATACAGGAAGCCTGTGCACTAACACTAACACAGTCACTAACTGGTTAACAACTAGATGTTATAGCACAAGGAGATGACTGGTTATATATTACAGGGTGGTGCCCATTGTGTTTCATTCCCTTCAAAGTGCACTTAGCTGTTATGTAAGCAGACAAATTACTGCACATTCTTTTTGACATAGGTGTAGGCTAATGTTATTTTAAGAAATGAGTTAGAATATATTGACATAAAAATATAAAAATATAAAATATAAAAATTAATCTCATTGGATCCTTTATGTCTTCCGAATATTTACTTTTATATACAAGATACAAATCAGAGAGGGAAATATTTCAAGTAATTTCTTATTGTCTTATTAGAGTGATGGAACTATTTTTCTCATTTGGTTAAAATTCCATCTTCCCTAAAGTCCTGAAGCACAAAAACAGACTTCTCTTCTTCTTCCTCTGTTTTACAATTGTGTTTTGTAATTAATGTCATAACCTATAACCTATGACCTTTGTAATTCTTTTGTGATTTATACTATTAAGGAACAGGTGATAAATATGCTGTTTCTGGGGGCTTTTTTTCATCTTCATGAATAGAATTTTTATGCTGTTTGGTTTTAACTTGTGCAAATAAATCGAACACAAAACCAATATAATGACCAGTCAGTTCTCTCTAGTGCACATCGGGTAGAAGCTTCCTGTTTTGCTGGCAAGCAAGAAAATGAGATTGTTTAGCAAAACCGTCCCACCCCGGTCTCAACCTGTCACCTCCTTTGACCCACAGCCAAGGAGCTTACTATAATTATAGCTGAGGGCTGTGCTCCTGTAGATTGAATGGAGAACAAAAACACTGGCTCACTGACAGAGAGGCGGGAGAGGACAACAGGTCAATGACCCAAATAAACACGTTTCAACTAAACAGTTCAGCTCCCCAACTGAAGGTGCTATCATCCCTCCTGTTTTATTTTGAGGGTGCACTAAAGTAGAAGTGGAGCAGCTTCACTTTGCCTCGTGGCACTTCATAAAAAGCCATGAAAAGCCAGTGTTAGTTACTTAACATCACGGATGACTGCTTCCTGAAGCTAGACAGGACATTACATTTGTCCAGTCATGTTTAAAAGATTGCAGACAATCCCTTAAGTAGTACCTGGTCTGTCTCCTCTTTATATAAACAGCGCCCTCTATTGCCAAAACATCGGTACTGTTTAAGTGTTCAGGTTAGGGTTAGGGTCATACTCTTTGGTATGTTAGTCCAGATGAGCCAACCCTCCCAAGATGTAAAATAATGTATTACAGGAGTATAAGACATCATGTAGCACTTTATTTCTTCATGTGGCTGTTGTTTATTAATGAAAAAGTAACAAAAATATTTAAAAAAAAACCACAAAAGAAAAATAATTTCTTGACTGACAATCTCTTTTACCTCATAGATGACATCTTTGTCCTGTCTCAGGCACCGTAGCTGTACTGCTCGCCTGTAGGGGATGTAGGTACCATATCCGTGCTGCCTGCCAGATCTCTATCTGCACATGCGTAAAAGTGGACTTCTATCAAAGAAGGTTACCGCAAATGTGCCCTATCATAATTATTCGTGTGTTGTTGTCTGTTCTCATCTCAGGGCATGAAGTACTTACGCTTTATTAGCGTTATTTGATGCAAAAGTTACCCTTTGCCGTCCGTATGAGACGCCTCTGGGTGCGTCTGAATGAGATGCCCTGTCTAGTCTGGTAGCTAACTAGGTAGTTAGCTCCAGTTCGGCTCTGGACAGGATCGCTAGTTAGCTGGCTAGCTACGTTAGTATTAAATGCGCTGACAGCCAGCTTCCCAAAGCATCTTACCCTTAGCCTAACCGTCAGGGTGTGTGCCTAAACTTAAGTCAGCGATTGTATGCATGTCGACTGGCTAACCCTACAGCATCGGTCTCATGGTGCTAGCAGCTAGGGTTACCCTCCTTTGGGTTGCTACATTGTGAGATTAAAAATGTTCTGTTGAATAAGATTTTTCATATCTATAGTTTAGTCCTATTACATCATACTGAACAGTTTCCTCTCCAGTGATTAAAAACATTTTTATCTCGATATGAAAGATTTAGTTGGATCATTTTGAATAGGCAGATTTGCGGTAACCTTCTTTGACCAACAGAACTACTTTTGCTCATGTGCAGAACAGATCTTGCTGCCAGTACGGATTTGGCACTGACAGGGGAGGGGGTGCAATTCGCAACCCTCACCACTAGATGTCACTAGAACTTACACACTGAACCTTTAACATAAAAAACCTAAGCTGACCGGCTCCAAACTCTGCCAAACTTTTCATTATGAAATTGCCTTGCGTTATGCACGGAAACAATAAACCAACAACAAACTGAGAAGACTTTTGAATATTTTAGATAACTCAGGTTTAATTTGAATTTTTTAATTTTTAAATGAATTTTAATGATTGGGTTTCATTAAACTTAACTTAATGGACTCCCCTGCCTCATAAATTTGTATGGTTTGTACTTGGTGGTTTGTACGTGTTTTTGGTCTTTGTTGTAAATAAAGATATTTTTAAAAAATGTATAATCTGCCTCCTTGTTGTGCTGTTACAACTTTACTCGTGAAGGGTTTGCTATTTCCTGTGCAAAGAAACAAATAAAAAAACATACAGGATTTCTTTTACGTTTACCAGATCATACTTTTGGCCGGAGACAATTTAAGAAAATATATATGGACTGGTTTAACCCTCTTATATAGAGTCTATGGTTTGAGTGGGACATCCAATAATTGTCTATAGATTGTCATATTATTTAGAGCAAAGAGGACTGCTAAACCAATACCAAAGTGGATTTCGTAAAGGAAGATCTACGGTAGACGCTTCAGTTAAAGTTAGCAATGAGGCAGAAAAGGCAGTTAATATGAAAGAGGTCATGGCGATAGTATATTTTGATATTGAGAAAGCTTATGATTCAATGTGGAGAGAAGGACTATTGATAAAAATGCATAAAATGGGTATTGGCGGAAGGCTATATAACTGGGTTTTAGACTTCCTGTCTAACCGAACATTCCGTGTTGAAGTTGGAAATGCTGTGTTGGAGGATTTTGAAATTGAAAATGGTACTCCTCAAGGGAGCGCTATAAGCCCTATTCTGTTTAATATCATGATAAAGGACATTTTTATAAATGTTGATAGAGATATTGAGTCATCACTTTATGCAGATGATGGGGCTATATGGAAAAGAGGGAAAAACATTAGACATGTGACTAATAGCATACAGAGCGCTATTTTAAAAGTTGAAAGATGGTCATATGATTAGGGATTTAATGTTAGTCTTTCTTTACCAGAAAGAGAAGGATTAATAATGCACAGCTTAAACTGTATGGACAAAATATGGAAAGAGTGAAAGAGTTCAAGTATCTAGGATTGTGATTTGATGAGAAATGTGTATGGAGGAATCACATTAAACAGGTTAAAACAAAATGTAAAAAGGTTCTGAATCAGTTTCTGGTTACCAATGGGGAGCAGATAAACAATCACTACATATTTATAGGGACTTAATACGATTGTGTATTGGTTATGGGTGTATGGTATATGGAGCAGCATATGGAGTATTTTAGAAAAACTAGACAGAATACAGTTCAGAGCTCTAAGACTCAGTATAGGTGCAGTGAAAACAACCCCTGCTAATGCACTGCTGGTAGAAGCTGATGAATTGCCATTATATTTAAGACGTTTTAATGTCTTTAGCATATTGGGTCAAGTTAAAAGGATCTGGAGAGGAACAACCTGCAGCAAAGTTTATGTGACTGGTGGGAATATACACAACAATGGAAAGGTAAGCATAGACTATGGACCAACTACTGTATGGGGTAATGTTCCTGCATGGATAGTTCCTGTGCCCAATGTGGACTTGAAGCTTCTAGAGAAGAAGAAAGAATGGAGTGAACGTAATGTGGTTTATATTGGATATTTGGTTCAAGATTATGTGAAGAGGAATTATTATAATTATATGCTATTATTCACTGACGGATCAAAAGATCCAGGGAGTAAACATACCTGAGTTTGATGTAGTTATATGTAAAAGAATTAATGATAAATTATCTGTATATTCAGCAGAAATGGTTGCTATTATTTTAGGGTTACAGTGGATAGAAGAGGTGAGGCCGGAGAGAGTTGTCATTTGTTCAGACTTCACTGCAGCCCTGTATAGTTTGAATTCCAAAACGACAGTAAGAGATGATCTATTGATTGAAATATGGACAAAAATGCTGAGAATACAAAGAGCTGGAGTTGATGTGCAATTTGTTTGAGTTGAGGGGAATGAGAAAGCAGACGAGATTGCAAAGACAGCGTTGAAATTAAAAGATGATAAAATAATGAAAGTTCCCTTTGGAGAAGGAGAGGCCAAATCATTAATTAGAAAAACAGTGAGTGACGTACGGAAGAAGAAGTGGGACACAGACACTAAAGGGAGACACTATTACAGCATACAGGAATCAATTAAGGTGAAGGGTTTCAAAGGGAAATGTAGAAGAGATGAAGTGTTTTTTCAAGATTAAGGTTTGGACATACTGGGTTAAAATCAACACTTTATTTAATGGCAAAATGTTTGTCTGATAAATGTGAGGTTTGTAATGTTCCTGAAAATGTCGAGCATGTCATCATGAAGTTTGCAAATATGATTCTGAAGATATATGAATTCGGACGGGGATAAAATTTAGAAGGGATTTTAGGGATGAGTGAGGAAAAAAGGGAGTGCTGCAAAGCTCTCTTTAATTTTCTCAAATCTGCTGGATTAGACCATAACATATAGTCTTTTTATAGTATTTTTATTTATTTGTTTTTTGATTGTTTGTTTTGTTTTATTGAGTTTTCTATTTATTTATTTATTTACCTTTTGGATACACTGAACCTGTAACCTGAAGTACTAACACCTTGATATTACACACTCCGGTACAGTTGGTGGCGGTATGCAACTGAACAAGTTGGTTGCGACCCGCCATAAAACCCAGAGAAGAAGGAGAAGAAGCAGAAGTGCGACATCCGAAAAAAAACCCCGCTTTGGCAGAGAAATGGTATCGTCCAAAGATGGCAGCCTCCGTGTGGAAGCGATGTGTGACTGCAGCAGTCAAAGTTAAATGTTTCTCTCTGTCCTCAGGTAAACACATCTTATATAGTTGTATTTTTAATTGTATTTATTTGTTTAACGTCTATTTCTTTGGACTTCATTGTCGTTATTTGGATATTTAGGCAGGAAGAGACAAATGTCCCCAGTCCATGTCATTAGCTAACTGTATTGTAACAATAACCGGATACCTGCAAAACGAGGTTTTAACACGTCTTTTCTGTCGTGAATGTTTCTTAAAGTAATATTAAATAACTTATACATACCATGTGATATTTGTATCTACATGATTTGGTTGACCGTCTTTGCAGCCAGAAGATGGTTGCTCTCAGCAGCGTACACAGACACCAAAGTGTGGGAGGCCAGAGAGAAAGATCCTCAGAACCTGGGTAAGAGTTAAAACTGCTTATGCAAATTTTCTCATATCACATTTAACCAGGTAATAACAACCAGAGTGTCCAACGTGGATGGAGGTCAGGATTTTAGCATTTTCCAGGGGGACTGTATGTTGTCACAGAGTCTACATACAGTATGTCAGTTTTCTAAAATGTAATCCATATTTTTATTACATTTAATTTTAATGAAGAAGAGCCTAGGCTGTAATCCCTTCCATGTTCTCCCTGTGTCCGGCAGGGTTTCCTCCCAAACAGAGACTTTAAATTGGTCATATTTATGTCCATACATGTTATAGACTGACCACTTGGTAGGATATACTTCTGCACATGTAACAGAAGGCTGCAGAGGTTACACCGGTTGTGTCTTCCAAATTCGGGACACATTTCTGTGCCTCATGCAATGATTTTAGGTTTAAAGTTTGAATTGTAAAAGAGGCTGCCCCTAAATTGTGAGTGCTATAATTTATGGCTGGATATCAATGTTCTGTACATTTTGGGTACTTACTGAAATGCATCATATTGATGAGTATTGATAATTGTCAAGTACTGAAAGTTGCCATTGAATTCCAGATAATTTCTGATTTTATTTTATTTTTATTTTTTTTTAAATCATAATTTTGAGGAATTTGGAATTGTTGTATTTTCAGGTAAAATTCTGATAAGGTGCAGCATTGTAATGTCAGATTAATGTGTTATGACAAAATGAAACACTAGTCAAGCTTGTTTTGTTGTACAGAAAATTACTTTTTATATTCCCTCCATTTTTTTATATTCCTTCATTGAATTAGTGAAAGTATTGTTAATGCACTGTTATCAAACATTTTCAAACAATACCTAGCCCTGTTACGGTATAATCACCAGTTAACACTTGAGATGAGATGTGACATGTAGCTGACGTATATCCACATCCGGCATGCAACCAGTCCAGCACCACATGTAACGGTGTGTACACTCGATCAGCACAGGGTGGCAGTGTAACACCACAGCATCACGGTGCACTGATTCATAACTGTTAGAAAGTGCAGATGTTATTGGACACAGCCTACCATGACTTACATGAAGTTAATATCAGGAAAGTTTTTAAAAGCTACAAATGGATCACAGTTGGAGATGAAGCATTTGATGACACAATAATAATACATTTTATTTGGTACTTTTTTTTATCTCCTTGTATCACATTGGCGTGTCATCCTGTAAAAGACATTCTCAATAGTTTATCACATGATAAACTGTATAATAGTCTTGTTGATGATGTTTTTCTTTACTTGCAGCTGTTCTGGCCATCAATATGGAAAGGACATATGATAGGAATCTCCCAGTTAGCTCTCTGACTGTGTCACGGGTAAGCTGGATATAGATTGAAATAGCTAATCTGTTTCATGATAAACCCAGTCACTGATAAATAACAATAAATAAGTTTGAATTTGATGTCAGTGGGGACAAAGTCCTACTATTTATATTTTTTGTTTGTGTTTCAGTTTGTTGACAACATTTCATCTCGAGAGGAAGTTGATCAAGCAGAGTACTACCTTTACAAGTGAGAGGAATCATCTGTCTGTATCAGGTTCTTCGTTTTATGTGTCAGATATCTTCTGCTCCTGTGGTTTTGTGTGGTACCAACTTTTGTGCTTTTCTTGGAATGAATTGTCTGTTTGGTTTGTCTGTTTTGGTTTATATTCAGTCACATGCTTTTCTTTGTTCGGGGCAACTCCAGACCTTTCCTGTTTACCCCTTCCTCTGGAATCTGCACCCATTCTTGGGATTACAACATTTAGTATATTTCCCAATCACGCTCTTGTTCAGGTCACATTCATTCTCATTATTGGGTGAGGGTTAAATACATTTCTTTACACTTTGGGAAGTCTCTGAATATTAATAATTATTGTTAATGCATTCAATTTCAGTTATTAGTGCTGATTCTTCATTATTAAGTTGTCAAATTTGCTCTTTGAACTGAAATTGTTTACCACAGACTGGTGACATTCAAATGTGATCGCATGTCATTTCTTCTCTTCCTCACATCCTTCCTGTTATTACATCTTGCACGTTAATAAAGTGGAACTGTGATGGATGTTAAAAAAATAAGCACGCCATGTGGTGTTGTTTTTTTTCTTTTGATCCCTCCAGGTTTCGTCACAGTCCAAACTGTTGGTACCTGAGAGACTGGACCATTCACGATTGGATCAGACAGTGTCTAAAATACGGGGCCAGGGAGAAAGCCCTGCACACACTTAAAAACAAGGTACACATTATAATCCCTCTATTTATTCTTAAAACAACAAACTAGACACATGCTCATAGCACTCTTTGGTCAATGTAAAGGAGATCCATCTTTATAATCAGAAAGGAAATCTGATCAAAGTCTCCTGATGAGGGCTGACAGATGGAGTTATCTGGCAGTGTGAGTGATCACAGATCCAAACATAACCATCCAGATGCATTTTCAATATCAATCTGAGTAGCACAAATAACGTCAAACATGTTTTAAATTTTCAGCGCAGCATGTGTACGGTTCCTGGAAAGAGTTGTAGGATCTGCGAATCATTGACTTATTCTGAAAGCAAAGACGTCCATAGCCAATGACATGTTCACACGTAACACGGTGTAACACGGTGTAACACGGTGTAACACGGAGCGGGCTCTGTCAGTATAGCCACATCTGTTTGTTGTTTTGATTGGTATCATATTACTGTGAGATTAGAGGTCTCATTGCATTAGGAAGCAGCAGTTTTAGTATTGTGTGTGATGTGCAGCATCTCTACCAAATCATGTAGGGTAAACACTCAATGGATAAATGGAAAATATGATGCTATACATGTGATGCAAATATTGTGTGTGTGTGTGTGTGTGTGTGTGTGTGTGTGTGTGTGTGTGTACGCAGGTCCAGTATGGAATATTCCCAGATGACTTCACATTTAACCTGCTCATAGATTCTTACATTAAAGATGGAGACTTTAAAAGTAAGGCTTATTTAAAGCATGTTTTCAATCAACATTCAGGCACTGAAATAAAGCACACCAGCAGGTTTCCAAACACATTCTTGTTGATTTTGAATAGTGCCAGGAGTGGGAACAGGCTGCCTGTCAAATCACCGAAATCAGATTTTAAACATTTCTTTCCTTGTTTGTAAGAGACGGAGGTAAAGGGGAAGCCTGATTATGTTTTCTGTAATAACATTAGAATGTAAACAATACATTGTTTTTCAACAAGTGAAGGCACACAGCTGGTATTACAATGTTTTCAGTTGTATGTTGAAGTTTTGATTACATTTGAAAAACTTATGATTTCAGAGTTTGTTTAGCGCTTCTATACTGTATAACTTAAGTTTTGCAACTCAAATCAGATGTTTCATTTATTTTAAGGATGCATCTGACAGTATTCAGCTTGGGGCTGGGTGCCACAGACAGGGTAGAGAAGTAGGGATGTAAGGGAGAGATGGACTGAGGAGTGTGTGTGTATAAAGTGTAATGGCAATAAGTGCCTGTTTTTATGCACATTTTCAACAAGAAATTGAAATATTGCATTGTGTTTTTAGGCTAAGCAAGGCAAAAATATTGGCACATGAAATCATCAGAGAGTGAACCAATAAGAGACTGTAACATTCCTCGAATAATACATGAAAAAACTTTAATATTATTCACATTTTTTTTTTTTTTTTAATTGCATCGTCTCTTGCACTCTCTTCTTCTGCAATGGTTAAATGGCATCCGGCTGGAAAATTAGCGCCAGCAGCTGTTCAGCATCTTGATGAACCAACTCCTAATATTCTCATAGCAGTATGAAAATGTGCATTCATTTAAATTTCCGTTTGTTTTTCTGTAAATTAAAATTTACTCTACATTTGGCCTATTGTTTATTTTGGTCTTTTCATTGGATTTGTTGATAAGAAAAACGTAGAAAAACACCAGACTTATCCTTTTAACTTTACAAGAGGTGGCTAAGATTGCACTGCAAACCCATTGATTCAAAAATCATGTTGAATTCTTGTGATTTTAAAAATTTCTGTTCTTACTCTTAGCCTGCCATCTCATTCAATGTTATGATCTCTAAGAAGTCCCTATGTTTGCTATAAGTTTAGCAAAAATACTTTTCATCTGACTTATCTGTAAAAGTATTTACGGTAGCAGCCTTATAAAAATAATCAGAGGATGATAACATTCATTATAGAAAGAAAAATACAAAAGTGTCATGTAAAACATGACCTCATGTCTTTATTGTGATTGTGCAGGTGCCTGCTCGGTGGTTGAAGAAGTAATGCTTCAGGAGGCCTTCGACCTTCCCTCCACGCAGATCCTGTCTCTGCACGCTCTGGGTAGTTACATAGCATCCAGACCACAACTCGCTGTGAGTGAAACAGCCCAGAATATTCTTAGAGTTGGAAATACAGTAGTTTAGGTTAGGCACTACAGTGAAGTTGTACTATGAGACTGTGCTCTATGCTACATATTCATTTAGGAGAAATGGATGCCTGTAACTCGTTAACATGTGAATGTTGCAGCAGGACTAACTAACATGCTGTGTTCAGTTGTCAGAGGAGCGGGCATTGGGAGCATCACTGCTTATCTGTGGACTGAAGCAAGATAGCACTGTTGGGCTCAGCGCCCAGCTACTTGGCAATGCTCTCCTAGGTCTGTCTTTAAGTTTCTTCCCCACACATTGTTGGACTCTTTATTTTCAAGGTGATTAATTCATCCTGTGCTTTTTCGTCAGACTGTTTGTCTCATTAATTCTACTCCTCCTCCTTCCCCCATCCAGGCAAGGTAGAGATGTTAAAGGGCATACATGCCGTGTTCAAGGGGATGCCTCTCTTCTGGGGTTGTGGGTATCTGGACCGAGCACTGGCTGTCATGGAGAGAGTGGCTGCTGCTTCTGGTGATGTCAAGCTGTCCAAGTACACAGTAAGGACTGAGGAATTCAAAGGAGTATTTCATTTTGTGTGCGTGTGTGAGTGTAGTCATCTTACACAAAATATGGTTATATGTTTTTATTTTGTTTATTTAATGTAAAGGTGTACAGACAGCTGTGGGTTGCCAGGTATGGGCAACTTTTATTTTGGTCATAACTGAGGTTGCTATTGGATATACACTCAGTGACCACTTTATTAGGTACACTTATAAAATCTAATGCAGTCCAATACAACATAAATTTACAAAGAGAATAATGTTTTGATTGACACTGTTAGAAGTATAAATTCAACTATATGTTTATATTGAGGATGACAGTATGATTAGCTTGGTATCATATAATGATAAGATATAAAAAGGTAAAAATGCCCATAGTGGCAAATATTGACATTATTGGCGTATAAGAGATCGTTTCTGCTTTCAGTTATAATCATTAAGTCACAGAAGGCTGGCGACTCAATATTCAGCTCCACAGAAATCCCTGGCATCATGTTGCCTTAAATTGACACAATCCCACTATAGTGAGGTTTGTAGCTTCTAAATTTGGGGTAAAGAAGAGCGCTGGTATCAGGTCACTTACTCAGTATCAGCAGATGACCTGAGTTGAGTTATTGGAATCTGTGTCAGGAGAATAAAAGTTGGACTATATCATATCACATGACAACATGAAACCACAGTGACTTTAGAAAAGATAAATGTAAATTTTTTTCTCTTTTTTGATTGAAATAGGCTCCTGGTTGTAGTCTTTGTGCTCATTTCTGGTTAGCAGGTTCCTGCATGTGGCCACCTCCTCTAAGACAAATAAATTTACAGTGTGGGCACAATATAACAATCACACACATGACAGACAACAAACACTGCACAACACTGTACAGCATTGATAATACAAGTACAAGATATAGAAATATAACAAACCCAAGGTGCCAGACTGGATTACTCTCTGCACTCATTTGGACTTTTGCTATCGGTCTACTCCACTTACTGTGGGTGTGACTAGAGACAGTTGTTACTCTCCAGGTGGGGTGGATGATAAAGACGGTCTTCATCTGCTGAGATGGAACACACACACACGCGCTGTCATATTGTTGTTATTTTTACATATATGCACAAATGCACAGTCGGGCGTAGCGCCCCTAATCCGGTCTGTGCTGTCCAGTTCAATAGTTCAGCTTTGTTCACGTCTAATGAGATTTTGAAGAGCCTGCAGCAGTGAGGATGTCTGTAAGAATCACAGCAACGGGGACTAAATGGCTTGTGTCTGACAGCGGCGCAGCCATAATGTAGACAGAGCAGATAACACAGCAGGACAGAGAGGAAATATTACATCCCAAATGAAGGTGGTGGCGTCTGCCGCCTCAGGTAATAGTTAATCTTACCTCTTCCTAAGATTAGGAGGTGAGTTGCCAATTGAGGTGTTCAGCCTCCATTATCATTAAGTTTGTTGTTGTGTAATCTTTGGATGAGGAACTGCATCTTCTTACAAAGTTGAAAATATAAAAATTTTACGTTTTAATAAAAACAGTGGCAGGTGTTTCAGAACATTATATTGATTTGGCAAACATAATAACAAAAAAGAACGTGGGGGGGGAGAAGTGTCCTTGACCTTATTATTTTTTTTCCATTATCCTTCAGCTGGACTACGTGAATGACTTGCTGCAGGAACTGTGTTCTACCTCAGACACTGATTCCTCTGGAGAGGAGTCAGCAGGTGACGAGGACAAGAAGGAAGACACTGTAGATGAAGATGATCAGGCCGAGCGGGCTAGGCTACCTCAGTATGCCAGCAGATTCAAGGTGAGTCGGTGTCGTGTGCGACAGGTGTGCTTTTGTTTGTAGTTGCAACTGAATTTACATGAGTTTTTCTTGTCAGGGCAAGCCAGCAGACCGTGTTTCCTGTCATGACTGGGGCTATTGCTCAGAATTTTCTCAGGAAAATCCAGTTGGACAGAACAATAAGTTTTTTTTTTTTTTATTGATTCTTTTGAATTGAGTGTTTACATAACACACAATCAAGAAAGCGATTTAAAACAGTCTTAGCTAAATAACCAAGAATAATAAATAAAAAGATAATAAATTATCTATCTGTAGCAAGTATCTAAAAATAGGGGTCTGCTTTTGACAATGGCTTGCATCAGTAATGTTTAAGACACAGTGCATCAATGTTACCTTTTCTGGAGATAAGACTTTAGGACTACAGCAGTGTTCATGCCTGTGAGCTCCTCCATGCTCCTTTTCACTGATATTGTTTTGTCAGTTTAAGATTATATCCTGCATTGCTCTGTTGTCAAATACAGAGGGAGGCTTTTTTTCCCTTCTTTTTTAAATAAATGGGAATTTAATGAATCGACTGAGATATGGTTTGATTAGCAGCTCTCTAGTCGATGATACTAATTAATTAATTTAAGGGGGCTGTGCGTTTTACCACACTTCTATTATTACTACTACTGCTGACAAATATAAAATATTGAACACATTTCTTTCCTCATGGATCTTTTTCAGTCATGTTTACTAGCTTGCAGTATTCTTCTTTCTTTGCCTTTGTTGGCCCAGTAGTGGTGTTTCTTGACGTGTTGCCACCACCTGTTGATCAGTTGAATATCACGTCTGCTGCGTGCGCACGTGCACAAGAGTGAACTAACAGGGTCCCACTCATAAAAACATTGCTCTGTTGTGGTAATAGTACTCAAAAGCTCCACAGGGAACCTTTTTCAACTTGTGACTAGTTTTACTGATCAGGTTAGTATCTTTAATATCAGATGCCGGCCAGTCAGTGTGGTCTGTTGTGGGTCTACCTGAACTACAGCTGTATTAAACCGACTACAAAAAAATGTAATTCAGTGTCTGCCAAACACAGCATATATAGATGCATATGTCTAAAAACAAAGTTAAATAAATAACTTATCAGTTTTGTGGTTCACAGCAGTTATATGTTTATGTATTTAATAAGTCGAGTGTGGCAGTCAAGCTTGATTGGACCTTTTAAGATCTGAACTTCTCAAGGCCACAGAGCTGGCCAGCTGTGTCACTAATTACCAGAAGTAGCACTCTTTTTAAGGGCTTTTATAAGCACTAGTTTCTAAAAATGAAATCTGTACAGATCAGAACATCTAAACCTTAATGTGTTTTATAGACTGTGAAGCTTGAGCTTTTTTGAAATGTATTGAAAAGAGTTCACCGGTTTGGAGGGTTTCATACAAGTCCTTTAAATGACGTGATGAGGTCACTGTTGGGCGCGTCACCGTCTTTGTTTCCCTGCATTTTCAGGAACTGAGCAGGCAGCTGGAGTCTCTGGGTAAAGTGGACTCTGCCTCCTTCCAGGATTTAGTTACCACTCTTGCCCAGCAGAACCTGGCGGCTGCAGAAAAACCCGACTTGGAGCAGTACGAGAGCCGGATGCAGGCATGGGAGGCTGAGAAGAGGCAGCTGATTCAGAGAGAGAAAGCAATGAGGGAGAAGGCCGAGCAGGAGAAACAGGAGCGGTTAGCTTCAAAGGCTGCAGCCCAGCAGGCATAGAGACTCTTAAGATGGAGTTGAATGAAGATCACTAAACTGTCTATTGAGTACGTACATTCAAATTGTATATACTTAGGATATAACATACGCCTCAAATTGTGAAATATCAACATTACATCTGCTTGTGTCATTAGTTACTTTTGTAATTCAATTATTGTGTTCTTATGTAATTAAGTGTTGCTCTGTTTTTATAGAATTAAGAGCGGCAAATATAAATATATTGTCAAGATAAGGTTTCATTTGTATATGAAATTCTGTCTCTCATTTACCAATTTTCTGATTTGGACTACGGGGATGATATCATTATTGGAACTTATGCACACATCAATTGTTGAGCCTGATCATCGGTTGACCTCGTGAGCAAAAAAGGGTAAAGCTGGGGAAAGATCTTACCATCACATCCTCCCACTCCTCTGTGTGTGTGTGTGTGTGTGTGTGTGTGTGTGTGTGTGAGAGAGAGAGAAGCATCTTTGGACGTTTTCTCACAGGGGATTGAAGGGGGGTATTGCACAGAAGAATTTGCTGATAGCCAATTTTTTGCATGGAAAGGAATGCATTTATGACCAGAAACCTTTCGTGTATTAGATCCTGAACAGTATAAATAGACACAGTGTACTTCAGTGTTTGTTAAAAAGTGAACCTCTCAACAGAGTGCAGCATCAGCTACTACAGCAAGAGCACACAATTAACTGGCTAATAGTTAACTGGCAAATAAAGGAAAGCGTGTTTAGACGCCACAGAAAGATAAGATAATAGATCTTTGGAGAAGAAAATGCTGTTGTGGTACTGCACGTAATGTGTTCATTCCACATTATGTTGCAGCTATTCAGTATTCAGAGCATGATCTTGGGAAACAGCTTGGTATGCAGTCTAGGATGAATGAGCAGCACGAAATGTTTAAAACAAGAACTATTGTGATGGCTCTTTGCTGCTTTTCTGAGAGCAGCTCCTCACTCATAGCCAGTGTGTCTTTTTATATAAGCATCAGAAATGCAATTTAGAGGTTAGAAAATAGCATTATTTATATTTAGTCCCTTCTGAATATCACAACATGGAGGTGTTGCTTCTATCCACCACCTGAAACTGAGCATGTAAGTTTTCCTTTTTGACCTTAAAAACAGCAACTCAGTCCAGGGTCAACGAAGTGGAGACTGACGCATCACTAAATTAAAACATAATATGTGACCCTTTCAGATAGAAGAGTAAGAGGTAATACGGTTTACACATGTGTCCTGGCACTGGATTAAAATGCTGTTTAAAAATGACGTAAAATGGCAAGTTTTTAATTTGAATTTCACGCAACAACACATACCTGAATTACAAAACATTAAGTGTCGCTAGCAAAGTTAGTGGAAGGTTAATAACATTTCCCAGTCATTCTTCACTGTATGAGAAGCATTGGTACTTGCTCTAAAACATTTCTCGATGCATGTAATGTCATTCTTACATTCTCAAGTTGGAAAAGTTAAATTTACATTTAGCTGACACTTTTATCCAAAGCGACTTACAATTGCTATACATGTCGCACGCCTCTGGAGTATGACGTGTTAAGCGTATTGCTCAGGGACACAATGGTCGATGGGTCACAGTGGGGGATTGAACCCGGGTCTCTCAAACCAAGAGCATGTGTTTTATCCATTGCGCCATTGCCACCCTATATTGAATATATTCTAAATAATCAAGGAATGAACACATATCCGGACTTAATGACCTATTCAAGGGTAGTGAGTCCCCACTTTTTTTTTCACCTCTCTTGTTTATTATATCATAAATTATACTTTGGTGTTCATTGTTTGCTTAAAATGAACTGAAAAATTGTATTGTGGAGAATCTATTCAGTCTAGGGATGTGTAGCATATCCATGCTGACAAAAGTTTAACATTTATATTTGTATGTGATCTAAGCAGCTTAGAACTAGCTCAAGGGGAAGTGACCCGGTGGGCTTCGAGAGGTTTTATAAATCCAGAGCACATAATGTAAAAACCAGACTAGGCATCTAATTAAGACCTGCGTTTATTTGTGTAGCCACACCAGGTCAGTAAAAAGGACAGGCATTTAATCTGGACTAGGCTTTAATTGAAGTTTTATGGTATTTGGAAGTTACGTCACAGCTTGTGATGCTACAGTGGCTTCCTATTCACATAGTTTACCGCTTTTGATTGAAGCCGCTATAGACGTTTCCCACACATTACTTCTTTGTCTTGTCTTTACTAGCTAAGACAAATCTTTAAGTTTTGTGTTAAACTAGCAAGTAGATACATGAATTTAAGAATGACTTTACACAGATGACATTTCACAACTTAATTAATTTATAAATAGCGGGCCCAACCTAATCCTGTTGTGCTGCTTTTGGCTGTATCACACGGCTCAACAAGTGATCAGCAGATCAAATCACTTGTTATGGAAATGTAGATGTTCGAACTTCCCATGATTTAGAGCACATCTTGGAGATCTCGACAGTTCATTCCTGACCTTGGAAACAGCTGATTCAAATAAACAAGCAATCTCAACTCAAGGTCAGTTTTCTCCAGAGCTTTTTGAGATTGTTTTGTCAAACTCCAGAAATGATGTCTTAAGTCCTGTCCCCTCAGGTTGACTGGAAGTTAACCCTGTGATTATTTATGATCATGGTCATTTGTTCCTGGTCACTGTAGTGTTTATCCAACACTAATCAAACCAAATTAAACCCAGTGCAACGCTAAGGCTCACTGATGTGTTAAATAGATGCATAGTTTTTGTGCAACAGTGGGAATCTATTGCATAGAGCAATAAGTTATAGCAGCACTTGAGTGGGAGTAGTATCATCAGTAGGGTTTTCATGGGATTTTAAGAAAAATGCATAATAACAACCTTATCCTTTAACTGCTTATTATTTAGTGGAGGCTTCGTCGCAATCTTTCCTCTTCTATTGACCATGGTTTAGGACAATATTGATGTATTGGTTTCATTTCATCAATTTCATTTGCTGATTTTTTAAAATGTTATTTGTACACACAATTCCATTTCACATTGTGTGGTGCAACTGCCCTTCTTGCTACATTAATAACAGTTAAGTGGTGAGTTGAACCTCCGGATAAGCCAAAATATGCATATGTAAATTTAATAAAGGAATGTGTCACTATCTTCTCAGTCTCCCAGCAATTAAGTCTTTCAAGTTATAGCAGCTTCCCTCTGAAGGCTGCAAAAGCTCATGCCATTATTTTCTGTGATTCGTATCTCCTACTTATGAAGCTTTAACCATGCAAAAGCCGTAGACAAATTAACTCTAATCTGTAATAGAAAATGAGTCATTCATCATCCTTTGTCAGGTTCTCGTCCTTCAGCTCAATGTAAAATCAGTGGTTTAAAAGTAACACGAGTTGTTTCCATTTCTTGCCGTTGTCAGAGATGGGTTTGTCATTTCAGGTGTTTGAGCAGGTGTCAAACAGGTGAGATGTGATGAGGGGGAAAAGTCAGGAAGTTTGACATCCACATCAATGGTTAGCTGATTCCCAGAGCCTTTTAAGTGTTTTGAAAGACCTGTGTGTGTTTTCGTGGACGGGGAGGGGAGGTTTGCTGGGGAACTGTGTCATGGATTTTTTGAGATATGTAAATATTACCGAATCTGCAAGAGGAAAGCGGAATGCATTAGACATTATCAGCCTGGATACAGAACAAATGCTACTGTACAAACCATTTATCTCTACCACCAAAACCTTTTTTGTAGATTAAAGACACTTCAGCTGGTAAAATGTATAATAAAGCCAGCATGTCATCATCTATTCTACTAGTGATTAGTTTAGTACGTACTGTCCACTCTAAACAGAACATTCTTCTAAAAGCCAGATTCACACATTTTTAACCACTTGTAGCAGAGGTTTTTATCTTCCCATGACTGCAGTTTATCCTTGTCATGTAAATACAAACCATGTTACGCTTTTCCCTCCTCTTTTTTTTGTTTTTTGTGTGTGATTTATATCAGAGAGGGGATACCACTGTGTCTGTCTTCTTCTGTCAAGCAGATTACAGGATAAGATGCCCCTGGTTGTGTTGCTCTTGGCCAGAGTCTTCAGCGAAAAATGTTTATTGATCTTTCATTATTCATCAAGGTCAGCATCTTCATATTTAACATTTTAAAGAGATAAGTGAAAACAAATCAAATTTCATTTATCTGTCTGTTTGTTTTGAGGGTATACTTGGCTTTTCTGTGTCTGAAATTGGTGTATTGCTCACATATTAAACACTAATAAATCCGTCAGATGTGCAGCGGCAATTATAAATTTGATTTATTTGCTGTCTGATTCATTTTCCTGTTAATTTGTCATAATCAGCGGATTTACATAACCTTTTCCAGCTATTAAAATGTTTGCGTCAACGTTTCAATCAAAAACTTCCACCTTAAATCGTTTAGAAGGAAGTAATAGGATCAATTTGTGACTAATATATAAAAAATATCTCAACATGACATTGGGAGTTTACCCCTTACCATGTTACACTACAACAAATATTCCTAGCCTCTTTATACCTCATATATATATATGTATGTATATATATATATATATGTATGTATATATATATATATGTATGTATATATATATATATGTATGTATATATATATATATATGTATATATATATATGTGTGTATATATGTGTGTGTATATATATATATGTGTATGTATATGTGTGTATATATATATATATGTGTATGTGTGTGTATATATATATGTGTATATATGTGTGTATATATATATATATGTGTATGTATATGTATATATGTATGTATATATATGTGTATATGTATATATGTATATATAAATATATATATATATGTGTGTATATGTATGTATATATATATATATATATGTGTGTGTATATGTGTGTGTATATATATATATATATATATATATATGTGTGTATATGTGTGTGTGTATATATATATATATATATATATATATATATATATATATATACAGTGCCTTGTGAAAGTATTCGGCCCCCTTGAACTTTTTGACCTTTTGCCACATTTCAGGCTTCAATTTTTTGTGAAGAATCAACAACAAGTGGGACACAATTATGAAGTGGAACGAAATTTATTGGATATTTCAAACTTTTTTAACAAATAAAAAACTGAAAAATTGGGCGTGCAAAATTATTCAGCCCCTTTACTTTCAGTGCAGCAAACTCTCTCCAGAAGTTCAGTGAGGATCTCTGAATGATCCAATGTTGACCTAAATGACTAATGATGATAAATAGAATCCACCTGTGTGAAATCAAGTCTCCGTATAAATGCACCTGCTCTGTGATAGTCTCAGAGGTCCGTTTAAAGCGCAGAGAGCATCATGAAGAACAAGGAACACACCAGGCAGGTCCGAGATACTGTTGTGGAGAAGTTTAAAGCCGGATTTGGATACAAAAAGATTTCCCAAGCTTTAAACATCCCAAGGAGCACTGTGCAAGATAATATTGAAATGGAAGGAGTATCTCTGCAAATCTACGAAGACCCGGCCGTCCCTCTAAACTTTCAGCTCATACAAGGAGAAGACTGATCAGCGATGCAGCCAAGAGGCCCATGATCACTCTGGATGAACTGCAGAGATCTACAGCTGAGGTGGGAGACTCTGTCCATAGGACAACAATCAGTCGTATACTGCACAAATCTGGCCTTTATGGAAGAGTGGCAAGAAGAAAGCCATTTCTTAAAGATCCATAAAAAGTCTCGTTTAAAGTCTGCCACAAGCCACCTGGGAGACACACCAAACATGTGGAAGAAGGTGCTCTGGTCAGATGAAACCAAAATCGAACTTTTTGGCAACAATGCAAAACGTTATGTTTGGTGTAAAGGCAACACAGCTCATCACCCTGAACACACCATCCCCACTGTCAAACATGGTGGTGGCAGCATCATGGTTTGGGCCTGCTTTTCTTCAGCAGGGACAGGGAAGATGGTTAAAATTGATGGGAAGATGGATGGAGCCAAATACAGGACCATTCTGGAAGAAAACCTGATGGAGTCTGCAAAAGACCTGAGACTGGGACGGAGATTTGTCTTCCAACAAGACAATGATCCAAAACATAAAGCAAAATCTACACTGGAATGGTTCACAAATAAACATATCCAGGTGTTAGTATGGCCAAATCAAAGTCCAGACCTGAATTCAATCGAGAATCTGTGGAAAGAACTGAAAACTGCTGTTCACAAACGCTCTCCATCCAACCTCACTGAGCTCGAGCTGTTTTGCAAGGAGGAATGGGCAAAAATTTCTCGATGTGCAAAACTGATAGAGACGTACCCCAAGCGACTTACAGCTGTAATCGCAGCAAAAGGTGGCGCTACAAAGTATTAACTTAAGGGGGCTGAATAATTTTGCACGCCCAATTTTTTTCAGTTTTTTATTTGTTAAAAAAGTTTGAAATATCCAATAAATTTCGTTCCACTTCATGATTGTGTCCCACTTGTTGTTGGTTTTTCACAAAAAATTACAGTTTTATATCTTTATGTTTGAAGCATGCAATGTGGCAAAAGGTCAAAGTTCAAGGGGGCCGAATACTTTCGCAAGGCACTGTGTGTGTATATACACACTGAACAAAATGATAAACGCATCACTTATGTTTTTGCCCCCATTCATCTTGAGCTGAACTCAAAGATCCAAGACTTTCTCTATGCACACAAAAGGCCTATTTCTCTCAAATATTGTTCACAAATCTGTCAAAATCTGTGTTAGTGAGCACTTCTCCTTTGCTGAGATAATCCATCCACCTCACAGGTGTGGCATATCAAGATGCTGATCAGACAGCATGGGTATTACACAGGTGTGCCTCAGGCTGGCCACAATAAAAGGCCAAAATGCAAAGTTGGTTTCTTTTGTTCCTTGTTGCCTGGATGGGTTATTGACAAAGTCCAGATATCATCCTTAAGATACATTAGTGAGGGTCATAAATTGGTCAACTGTCACTTAACTTTTTTAGTGTCCTCTCTGAGTCGTGGTGAGGTTATCAGACCTTTAGGGTCCAGGTCAGTTATAAAACGGGGCCGTTGTCACTGAATGTCACTTGATGTCATCTCTTGAGTCCTGGCATGGTTTATTTATGCTCAGAAGGAGAAAGTGAAGACAGGATGTCCTCACATTGCTTGTTTATGAATCAGAGGCCATATGCAGGCTGTTTAGGAGAGAGAGAGAGAGAGAGAGGGCATCAGTTCTGTGAGGAATATTTATTTGCATTTAGCACTTGCTTTGAACGTAAAATTTGCAGTTGAGTCTGTAGCTTGATTTTTGGTGTTTTTTCCCAACAAAGTAACCAAACAACTGAAGGCTCCTCTGTCTAAAGACTGGTCTGATATCCAACTACATTACAGAATGTGTACTGTATAACAGATGGCTCTTGTACAAACACAACCCTGCTATTTATTAGGATATTTGATGCTCTGGTCCTGACTTCCAGTATCTCTCTCAACCTCTGACCACTCAATGCCACATCATTTTATCAACAGAGCTTTCTGAAAGAGTATTGACCCAACACATGGATAAAACACATGTCTGAGTGTTTAGCAAGTATTTGGCAAGACGTTTCACAGCTGTCCCACTGGGCTGATGAGCACGAATAAGAATAATCCTCATTTTCCCTCTCGCTGAATGATAGCAGCATGTGGGGTTTGCTGATGAGAAATTGCCAGCAGGAGTTTCATTGGTAAAGGGTGGTGCAATAAGGTAAAAGATAAGACAAGACTAATTGCATCAAGAGAACAATGTATCACATGTGATTGTTTAAATGTGTCCAAAAAAGAAATGATCTTGTAAGACATTAGTGTCATAATTTGTGGTTAATGTTTCATCGGCTCTCCACATTTTTTTTCTTATGATCATCGTATGAATCATGATCCCAGAAAGTACTTACCAAATGGTTTTAGTTTGTGTGTTCTAACATAGACAAAAGGAATTTCACATTAACAAAATAAAAAAATATAAATTAAATATAAAAATATTTAGAGGTAAAATTATGCAAATGTACAAAAAAAAAAAATTACAATATAATTAAAGATAAGAAAATTGAAGTAAATGTAGGTGTGAAGAAACACAAACTACAGTTAACATTTAAAAAAAGACACTCATCAATAAATCACTTCATGTTCTTTTTGTGAACGG